AGAGCCCTCCCTCCTGACAGCCTGGCCCCCGCCCGCTCCCCTGAACCCCCACCCTGTTGGCCACTTGCTGCTCCCCCAGCCAACACTCTCCAGGCCTCCTGCACGTGCGCTGTCGCCGTCTGACAGCCTTCCTCCGAGGAGCCCTCCCTGACTGCCCCTGCCCCTGAGGCTGCCTGACTCCCTCTGCTGCATGACCTCCACGTCCCCGGCCCTCCCCTCGGAAGGCAGACAGACCCCCTCACATGAGCTCTGAGCGCAGGGTCCGCCTCCTCCCAGGCAGAGGACCAAGCTGGGAAGGTCTGGGTTTTCAGCCCTGAAGTGGGTGGCAGGGCCCCCAGATGGCCAGTGCCTCACCCCACCTGCCCGTGGCTCACCCCCAGGCCGAACCTAAAACACAGGGGCCTTCAACAAAGGGCCGCCCTGGAAGGAGGCAGAGAGGGTCAGAGCCTGAAGGAGAGTGGGTGGGCCCAGCAGTCAGGGGGCCTTCCTGGAAGAGGCGGCTCCTGGCTGGTCCAGGACAGAAGAGCTGGGACCGAGGGAGACAAGGCCACAAGGGCCTTCCTGCCGCAGGTCCACACACCATGGGCCCAGGTGGGGTGGGCACACGCTGCTTAAGTGCCCAGGGGAGGCGGGGCCTCTGGGCACTGAACCAGTGGAGCCCCTTTCCCAGGACTTGGGGCGCGTGCCGAGCTGTCCCAGACCCAGGGGCGCTGTCAGGGGCACAGCCATCCCCAGCAGTGGCTTTGAGAGTCTGTCTCATGAAGGGGTCGGGAGGGTTGGCACCAGGGCCAAGATGACCTCGCCTGCCTCCTCCTCCATGCCCACCCCTGCCCGGTGGGGCAGGGCCGAGCCGGCACCGGTCATGCGTCACTGCGTAAAGCATGCGACATGGCCGCTCCGGGCCCTGCAGAGGCCAGAGAGCCTCCACGCTGCTCCTAGACTCAGTGTTCCCATCTGCAAAATGGGGACAGGACACAGCCCTGCACTAGTGTGGACAGCGCGAAGACTGCCTGCCCGGCTGCCCGGCTGCCCGGCTGCCCAGCTCTGCCTGACCTTGGACGTGGCAGCTGTGGTCACTCCTGTTCACAGATGCAAGATCCAGCCCCTCCAGCCCCTCCAGCCCCTCCAGCTCCTCCAGTCCCTCCAGCCCCGGGGGCAGGGACCAGCCCTGGGAGGGCGGGCACAGGGGGGCTGCCTCCGCCCCACCCCACCTCCCAGCTGCGGGCCCAGGTCCACTTTTCCATTTTAGAAAGTGCTTCTGCCATTACCTGTTCACAGATGCAAGATCCAGCCCCTCCAGCCCCTTCAGCCCCTCCAGCCCCTCCAGCTCCTCCAGCCCTGGGCCATGCAGGAGGATGGGGCCACGGGGGTGGGGGAGCCAGCACTGCCCTGCCCTTGGGGAGGCCTTGGCATTCCCAGAGCCCCCAGCCCCCCGCATGGTCAGCACTGGCCTCCCTGGCCCTGGTGGGAGCTTCTCCGATGGGGGCTCCGGCCAAGCCAGGGCTCTCAGGTGTAAGGCCAGTCCCCCGACCGGAGGTCAGGGGCTCCCGGTCAGCCCAGCTGCCCACACCCTGCTGTGCCTCAGGAAGGAACCCGTGGCCCCGGGTTAAGGACTCGGGGTCCTGCGTGGGTGTGGGGGTGGCACGGGACATTCTGGAAGAGGGAAGGGTCACCTGGGAGGGCAGTTGGGGGTGTGGGGAGGGAGCTGGACCTGGTCTGGTGGGGGGAGGCTGGGTGTGTTCCCTGCACAGCCACCAGGGGGCAGCCTTTACACGCAGGCTGGACGGGACATGGCTCTCTCCCCCTAGACTTTGGATAGGGGTGCAGACCCGCCCTGCCTGGCTGGTGCAGGGGGCAGGCTTGGGTGGGTGGAGAGACCAGGGCGTGTGGTCCCTCCGAGCCTGCCAGGGAGGAATCTCCGCTGGAAAAGGCCTGGACCAAGCCCCTGGGGCCTTATCAGGGATGCAGGCTCCCCCCCCACCCCCGCTCTGATGCAGCAGGTCTCCCACCACTGCCCGCCAGAGGCACTGACCTCCATCCCTGAGAGCGGACGCCTAGCTGGACGCCAGGAGGCCAGGGAACCACCAAAATCAAGCAGAGAATGAGGGCCTCGAATGGGGAGGGCCCAGGCCTCTGAGAGGCAGGAGGCCGGCGAGATGGACCCTTGAGCCTGCAGCCGGGGGCGGCCTCTGGGCGGAGGTAGAGCGACGCCCCGCGTCCTTCAGGCCCCCTCTGCTCTCCCTGGGATGTGCTGGATCCCAGGGACGTGGGCCAGGGCCAGCCCTAGGGGAGGGGGCGGGGGCTGGGGGCTGTGGACCCACAGTGGCTGTCAGTCTCCGGCCGGCTCCCATCTGGGTGAGGGAGGCCCACACAGGAGGTCAGCTGGGCCTCGGTATCATCAGACAAATGGGGAGCAGGGGGGGCCACGACAGGTCCCGCTGTGGCTGGAGGGTGTGCCCAGGCGGGAGCACCCCGTCCCCGGCACCAGCAGCGCCATCACCCTCATTGATCTGCTCTCCCCAAGGAGGGGGGTCCAGTCTGCACCGAAGCCGCTGAGCCCAGCCCCCGCCGGCAGCG